ATGTTTCATAAAAAAAACCATTTAGTTAAAAAGTTTTGTCAGTTATATTAGATATAACTGGTTCCACATATTTGCGTGGAACTGCTTCCGGTTGATCGCAAAGCCGTATGTTCGGAAAAGAAGGTTGAGACGGATAAAAATCTGGAGAATGGGGAAGAATGCAAATTTCAACAAAAGTGTCTGAAAAACAAGAAATTCAGGACATGGCTGCAGCCTGTCAATTGTAAAGATGAAGAATTTAAGAAGAAGAAGAAGAATTTAGACGTGTGTGTACATATATATGAGAGTCATGGGTTCTTGTTGATGGCATTAAAATTATTTCTAAGAGAATTAAAAGAGCATTAAAAACCATTAAATTAGAGTTGCTCATTCCTGTATAGACCCCTATTATACAATTGGTTATTTTGCTACACTTCAGGGTTGATTTGAATAAGCGCCCAAGAAGAGAAATGATACGTTCTGATGGTGGAAATGCTCTGTTAAATGAGAGTCATTTGGGAGAAGTGTTGTTTTAATAATTAATATTACATCTAGCCATATACTATTAAGTAAACCTGACATTGATTGATAATACTGTAAAAATCTCTATACATTATCAATGACTTTTCTCCCTATGGGTCAGCTGCCATTGGTCTTCAATCTAAATTCTATAGTTAAGGATTCATTCCAAAAATCTCCATGCTTTGCATGCGGACGCTTTATTGTGCAGCTTTGCCTGAGAGTCTGACACCATTTCTCCTTTTGGTTTCTTAATTGTTTAGAACATTTACAATGCTCTCCTTAATCCTTCTGCTGTGTTCCTGGACTTTATCAGATATTCACCACTCAGGGGGGATTTATTTCACCACCTGTCTGTTTACACTCTCCTCCTTTATTCCACAGATTTCCTTTTTGGAGCCTGGTGGCCTAAAACCCAACGCTATGATGCTGCTTAAAAATTACAGTTCTTGTTGTTTGGTTTGATCTTGGATCATTATTATTGGCTGCATGACGGGACAGGTTTAAAATAAAATCAGTTTAAGGGAAAGCCCTAAATTATTAATTATCAGGATTGTTTTTTAATTACAGTAAACTGCAGAAGTTTTTTTTTTTTTTTTTTTTGGGCAACAAAACCCAATAATCCAAAATGCCAAACTGTCATAGTTTTTAATAACTTCTAATATATTTTGCTTCAGTGAAAAACTGACAAAAAAGTAAACAGGTCTTGGAGGGGGACTTATTATCCAGACGTCTTTATCTAATTCAGCCTCTTTGGGGTGGTAGTTGGACACCATCCCAGCTGTAAACCTGAAACCCTGGACAGAGTCCATGTCCAACAAGAGACCAATGCAAAGGCAGCGGGAGGTAGGAAGCTGGGCTACAATAGCAACATCCACAGGGGGGGTTAAACGATCTCTGGATGGACGGGCCATTATGGTCTTGATGCCAACTGTAGACCTCCTAGCTGTGCACCAGAATGCCCTGATCTTCATCTCTGAGGAAATGATGAGTAGCCATTTGGTATTTCTGCAGACATGAACTACTCTAAGGTTACATTCACACCACAGCTTGAAGTTTTTTGTCCATATTTCATGACAGTCTGAACAACACAGATCTGATTT